CTGGCTGGCATGTGGTACTGGGGATTGAACCGAGGTCCCTGTGCTTTGCTTGACTTAGCTTGTTCTAAGTAGGTGCTTTAGACCACTGAGCCATCTCACCAGCCCACCTGGCTATTTTTGCAACATTTCAACTACTCAGATTGCTGCTTTGTTATCTTAGTCAAGAAGGTTGGCATTCGTTATGTCTGTTATCAGTCACTTATTGCTCCATTTCACTATCAGGAATTTTGACTTACATTGACAGTGTTAAAAGTCATCGTCATCATCATATGTCGCCATACCACTCTTCTGTTACAAAAGGAAGCATATATTTTACCATAATGGATCATCCTACTATCCATGCATGAGTAATCTGATGATTCACTTTGACCTCCAAAATTTACTTTTTTTTTTTTTTTTAAGACAGGATCTCACTCTGCATCTCAGGCTGGCCTTTAGCTTACTTTGTAGCCCAGGCTGTTGTCAAATTTGCAGTCATCCTCCTCCCTCAGCCTCATGAGTGCTGGGATTACAAGTGTGCCACCATGCCCAGTTTACAAATCTGGTCTTCCATGTGCCATGTACTGAATTGGGCTACTTCTACTAGAAAAGTCAAAAGAAAAACTTTTTTTTTAAAAATAAATCCTGGAGTGGTGTGAGTCTTTTGGACTGTCCATGATGCTCAGGTAAACATACCCAAATACTGTCCCACAGGGGATAAGGGTGAGTGCAAATCCCAGTTTGCCACTTTCGCACATATGCACACACCTAGTACACATGCATACATCTCTTTGTATCAAGTGGTTAAACACATAGATTGCTTCCTGTAGTCCTCAGGGAAAGGTACTAAGATGCACAACCAGCTTTTGTAATGCTAAAGTACAAATTTACAATAGAAAATTTGTGGACCTAGGCTTACGCTTGAAGGGTTAAGTAAGACGAACTTACTGGAATTTGGCCCCCTGACATGGGGTAGATATCCAGCCCTTTATGTGAAATCACCATTATTAGCTGTGTCTGCTTCCTCACAGAAGGGTTTCCATTTGATAAGCCTGAGCCAGGGGCATGTTGGTGAGATTCTCTATAGGAGTCCAGAATGGAATTAGGCCATAGCATGTGTAGGGCTAGGTCTGTGCTATTTTGATTCTTGAATGGTTTCTGACATGGGGAAAAACTAACACTTTTTTTCCTCCCTAGAATACAAAAACACTAATGTATTTGAGAAAGCGGTGAAGTTTGAGGGAAGAAAAAGCAGTTGCTTTCCTGATTTGCAGCTTGACTGGATGCAAGATGTCGGTGGACATGAACAGCCAGGGGTCTGACAGCAATGAAGAGGACTATGACCCAAATTGTGAGGAGGAGGAGGAGGAAGAGGATGAGGACCCTGGGGACATAGAGGACTATTATGTGGGAGTAGCCAGTGATGTGGAACAGCAGGGGGCTGATGCCTTTGATCCTGAGGAGTACCAGTTCACTTGCTTGACCTATAAGGAGTCTGAGGGTGCCCTCAATGAGCACATGACCAGCTTAGCCTCTATCCTAAAGGTGAGTAATATGGTCATAAGTATAATCTCTGCAGTTAAATCTAAGGATGATCTATTGTTAACTAACAGATGGATTGAATGGTCTAGTAACATAAAACCAAATTTAAGCATATCTTCCTTTTCTTGGATGTTTTATTAATAGTTGCTTATTTTCTAATATATACATGTCTAAGGTTTTCACTAAGGATTAAAAATTAGGGAGTGGAATAGATTCAAGAAAGACAAATTGAGGGGGCTAGGGAGATAGCTTAGTAGAATAAGCACTTGCCTGGCAAGCACAAGATCCTGAGTTCAATCCCCGGTACCGCCAAATAAATAAATAAATAAAACAAATAAATAATAAAAAAAAAAGACAAATCGGAAACATGTGGTAGCAAAAGTGCAATTTTGCATTGTTCCAGAAAGTTAATATTATAAATCTTTGAGATAGGTAAGATAAATATTAGAATCACCATTTTCTATACAATTCCTTTTTGATTGATAAATGTCTTAACAATTATTCAGGTATTTATGCTTTGCCCTTTGGGTAATGAACTCATTGTTTTCTTTGTTTTTTGGTGGCTCAGGCTATCTGTAGGGCAGGGCTAGCTGGGTATTGAACTGCGGTATCTTGCTGCTGACTGCCTGAGCAGGCGCTTAAACAACTGAGCTAAGGGCAGGCCCCCTGAACTCATTGGTTTCATACATTGGAGATTACTATTTATGGTTGAAAGAGCATTTTAGTAATAACTCTAAGGCCAGCCAAATAGCTCAGCAGATTAAAGTGCCTGCAAGCAGGCACAGGGTCTAGGGGATCAATCCTGGGCCTATTGCCCTGTCTGCAGAGTACACTGAGAGTGCAACTGAGACTGGGCATGGTGGCATGCACCTGTAATTCCAGTGCTTGGGAGGCTGTAAGCAGACAGATCACTGAGTCCAATCTAGTAGTGAGACCCTGAACCACCCTGTAAACCCTTCCCTAAAAATACAAACAAACAAAAGTAATAACTCTTAAAAAAAAAAAAAGTAGGCTCTCATGATTTATATTTATTAGATTTTTGTGGGCATTATTATGGAAACTTTGAAGAATGAACAAAATTACATTATTCCAGTAAGGATTTTACTGTTTTAATGTTTGAACTAACATACCTTTAGATATCTTTCACCTCTCAGGCCAGATAATGTCTCCTTATTACTTAGATTTTTATTTTTTCTTTTTACAGTTATTTAGACATTTCCCCAGCATGTTTTGTTGTCTGACATTGGCTGTTACGACAAAATGGGGACATTTTTCTAATTTACTGTTTGTCCTGGATTTCTTTCATGAATTATTGGATGAATTTTATTGTTCGATCTGATAAAGTTGAAGGTCAGAAGGATACTTTGTCATGATTTTTTTTTTTTTTTGGTGGAACTGGGGATTGAACTCAGGGCCTTGCCCTTGCCAGGCAAGCACTTACTCTACTGAGCTATCTCCCCATCCCCTATTTGTTATGATTTCAACTGAATAAATTTTCATGTTGATTGATACTTAAATGAAAAATGTCGTATATAATTTCTATAGAAGTTGCATTATCAAGGGTTGCATTATCATGTGGTTAGCAAAGAGTAGATTATATATACTCAGGGCTTTGTTAGCAACTGGAAGCTGAAGGCTAAAGGTTTTTGTGTGACCCATTTCTAGAAATGATTGTAAGGTACCTTTTTTGTGTACTCAATAGAAAACTTAGGAATATGGACCCATCGATTGTCTGAGTTTGGATTTTTTTTTTTTTTTTTTGTGGAACCAGGGATTGAACTCAGGCCCTTGAGCTTGCCAGGCAAGTGCTTATTCTACTGAACAATCTCCTCAGCCCCTAGGTTTGGAATTTCTGTGTCAAACTACTGAGATTCCCTTATTTAAGGAGGGTATTCCCCTGTAGAAAAGAGATATCAGTTCTCCTTTCTTGCTGTGTACATATATTCTTTCTGGTCAACTAATCTCTTTTGCTTTAACCATAATATCAGATTATAGAAAGTGTTGTTGGTTCAAATTAGAAAGAAATTACCAGCTGTGTGGATATACAGTGGGCTGTTATTTAATGGGAGATCAATAGGGTACTCCTTTTTTTTTTTTTTTT